ATTCGGACAGCTTTATTCAATTAATTATAGATACATTATTTAAATTTTTTTTACTGTAAATAGTTTTGTCACTTTTATCTATTTGTAGCTGCTCAAGCAGCAGGAACGATTTTCACTCTTTCGACGATAGCCACGAGCAGTATAGAGGAAGTGGCAGAAGCTGCACCGAAGGGTATAAAGTGGCTCCAACTCTATATTTATACTGATAGGAATGTTACCTTAAATTTGATAAGACGCGCCGAACGTGCTGGTTTCAAAGCGCTGGTTCTTACTATCGATGCGCCAATTTTTGGTGATCGACGCGCCGATTTGAGAAACAAATTTTCACTGCCTAATCATTTGAGGTAAGCATTTAGAGGTGTATAGAAAATATTGAATATATTGAATGTGCAGCAAATGTATTTATATAAAAATACGTAGATAAGCAGTATGAGTTAGTAAATTGCTATTAACTGTAAAGAATACAAAGAGATAATTAACGGCAGCTTTGTAAGAGTTCTATGTACAAAATAAAAAAAAAGTATTTTCATTTTTTATTTTTCAAAGCTAATCTATCATAAAAAGATTAGATTTTTCAATGTTTATAAATACAAAAAATTAGTTAACTTTATAAATTTAAAATAGATAATAAACAGATAATAGACACAATGAAATAGTCAATCCCACATTATGTATTTTAAAAGTATTATAAATGTATTATAAATTTATTTTAAAATGAAATTTATAATAATATACGGTAAAAATAGAATTTTACGTTTTTGCTTTAGATTCGCAAATTTCCAAGGTGATTTATCGAAACGAATAAATTCAGCGAAGACCGGCTCTGGTCTTAATGAATATGTTACTGCACTGTTCGATACATCTCTTTCCTGGGATGACGTAAAATGGCTTAAAAGGTATCTGCATATCATTGTTTGTGAACTTTCCTTATCTCGACATTTTGGAGCAGTAATGCCCGTATTTACAATCAGGTTTTATATTTAAGGCTTCCTTAAATTTATCTTCAGATGCTCTACAAATTATTTTATTGGCTATTGAGCATCTAAAGATAAATTTAAGGAAGTCTTAAGTACAAGGTCTGATTATATGAATACAGGCATCTTTTACCATGCAACGAGCAAATCAAATACCAATTTGAATCAAATTTGTTGTAGAATTACAACACTACCGGTAATTCTTAAAGGAGTATTAACAGTAGAGGATGCACGTTTAGCCGTGGAAAATGGGGCTGATGCCATCATAGTATCAAATCATGGTGCGCGTCAGATAGATAGTGTTCCAGCAACGGTTGGTTAATTTCTTAAATAGCTTTCGATATTGAAAATTTAGAGTATAGTTAAACAATTTAGAGTATTAAACATTTAGAAGATTATATAGTATATACGGTACGTAAAATATTGAAATAATTGTATTCACAGATTGAAGTTTTACCTGAAATAAGCAAAGCCGTAGGAGATAAAGTTGAAATCTATATGGATGGTGGAGTGATGCAAGGCATTGACGTGTTTAAAGCATTGGCATTGGGTGCAAAAATGGTATTCATTAAATACACACACACACACACACACACACACACACAAAATAAAATTATATATAAATAGGTTTCGTTTAATTTATAGACATATTACTGTTCAAAGTTTTTTTACTGCTATATAAAGTTTTCACTTGCATATTTTTGTCCAAATTTAGTTAATCATATTTTTTTGCAGGTATTTATTGGCAGACCGATGCTATGGGGCTTGGCATATAATGGCGAGAAAGGTGCTTACGAGATTCTTGAACTTATGAGGAAAGAAATTGATTCTGCATTCGCATTAACTGGTAAAATAATGCATAAATTTTTACATTAATGTTTTGATTAATTTAATGAAATATTTCAAAAATCATGTTTAGGTTGCAAGTCTGTAAAGGATATTACACGGGATATGGTAATTCATGCATCTTACTATAGCCATCTATAAATTAATTTTACATCAGATGTAGTTGCAGATATGTATAAATATGGGGCGAGAGTCGTTTGACTACTTTGTAATTGATCACAAGCCACTCACAGAGTCTCGAAAAAACTAGGCACTAGAATAACTGTGGTCAATCACAACATGATCAAACGGGACGTTACCATAAATGTGTACATATGTTCAAAAAATATCGACTTAAAACTTCTTCAGTTTTACTGATGATTTTTTTATTATTAAGAATGTATTTGCTAAGATTGTACTTCAAAAAATTATTAATTATTTGTTTCACTTTTATGTACTTTTTGTAAATATATATATACATGTATATATGCACATTTCTCTCTTAAGTATATTAATTTACTTTTTTTTTATTAGTATTAGACTTATAAGCTTAAATAAAAAACTTTCACATTTGTATTGTATATATCAGTTTTATTGTTCCCAAAAGTCATTTTGGGGTTACAAGTCACTTCATACTCTTTTTTTTTCAATTCTTTAAGCAATCTCTTGAAAATCGAAACATAAGATACGGATTGGGATCTCTCGCTAATTATAAGTCGCTCTTATATAGTTACGCGTTACTTTGTACTGAATTCGTCCAAATTAATTATTATTTGATTAAATGGACTTCAACAACTAATCACATTGCATTTTATACTGTTGTGCATGTTATTTATACAATAGATATAATTGATACAATAGATTTTCTAACATTTCCTAATCTTAAAGAATTGCTTTTAAGATACAGAGAGATATTTAACTCGTTACATCTTTTTCTTTTGATAAATGACATAAAATTTTGAAATTTTATTTATTTAAAACAAGAATGAACTTTTATGAAAAAATTTGAAGTATTTTTGGTATATTAATGTCAAATAATTATATAAGTAAATGTCAAAAAAAATAATAGAAAAAAATTAAAGAATATTAGTACTTTAGAGCATTAGTAAAATTTGTTATATAAGTAAATTATAATCACTAATACCACATATTGTAGCTAGATTCTGCTATGCATTATTAGATGTACTTTTCAAATCATAAATTAATTTTAATAAATTGCTACGTTTTTTCGAAACCATTTCTGGAACGATACTACAATCACAATCGCTTACTTTAGAATTTTTTATAGCGTGTCTAGATATTATATCTGCTAAACATAAAACATATAAACCGCAATCGTAGTTATTATTTTGTTGCGGACAATCCATTTCAATATATTTTCTCTCCTGTTTCTCAAGAAAATATTTTGTCACTTTCCGTGCAAGTTTTTTCGCGGAGAAGCCATTAATACCGCTTGACGAATCGAAATGATAACACATTTTTTCCATACGAGAATATACTAATAAGCTCCAATGTGAGCCACCTGCCTCGTTGCTATCACAGTCATTAAGAGGGAAGAATATAAAATCATAATTTGTAGCTTCAATAGGATCCAGAAATATATTATATTGTGAAGAATCTTGCATCTTTAATAACTGGGCTACTTCGGGCCCGATAAATAATAATTGGCTTTTATTATCCTTCCTATATTGTTGATTCAGATATTCGAAATAGAATCCTATTATTATATCATTAAGCCAGTCATTTCTCTCCAGTAATGCAACATCCGATGTTCTGAGTAAGTAGTCATGATAACTTAACACAATATCATTCTTGTATGGATTCGTCGGATGAGCATCATGGGATAAGTGCTTTGAATTTGCAGGCAAAACCGGCATAGTACTAAAATCAGAAATATAAAATTTAATGTATATATATTTATCTGAAAAAATGTAACGATAAAAAATAAACTTAAATATTTTATTCTGAAATAAAGAAACTTATTTATTCTTAAACTTATATATATCAAACAAAACATTAAGCAAAGTATACTAGTAATTCGCTAGAAGATTCAAACAAAATATATATTGCGGGAAATTGATATCTATATATATGTATTCTGTTTCACGCATGATGTATATTCTTGTTGTTCTGAATGTTAAAAGAACAAATGCCATATTACAAACACTTATACATTACAGCTTATGTCCTGCCAGAATAATCTGATAGCAGATTGCCAACAGAGTCTGTCATTCTATAATCGTTCAAATGGAATATTATTTATTCAACACCGGTGATTTATAATTCATTCAATCCTGCTCTGGGATATATTGCATAAAATAATTAAAATTTAAATTGTAACTGTCATTTACTATTCCCATATTAATTTTGTCAGATCCTTAATAAATCGATATTGATAAAATTTTCATGTATTGTTTAAAATTTTAAAGGAGGCATTATATAATCTCAAAGAGAGATCGAAGATGCATACAATTCACTACTTAGATATATTTACAAAGAAATTTTGCAAGATTGACTGAGGCTGTAGTCAAAGTCTCGCTACAAATGCTTTGAAGCGTTTGATGGACCAATCAAGAGAAAGAATTTTATAAATTGACTAATATAAAATGTTTTAAAGCATTTGTAGCATCACATTAATCATATCCTAAGTTATTCTTGATCTTTATTAGATAATAAAAAAATCCACATACGAATAAAATAGGAAAAAGGCAGTAGTTTTTAAATTTCATTTTTGAGACCCTTGCTATAGAGAATGTATGAACTTTCGAAGATTACAATTAATAAATACCCATCAAATCTCGAGTAACTTGGCTATCGCCAGCTAATGATTACGAAATGACAGATTCTACTCGATTCATACAATCTACCATCAATCAATCTATCATCATTTTACACAGATCCTGTTGTATTTCTGCTGGTTTTTCCAATTCTGCCAAAATTTATATCAACAATTTTACAAAACATGTCTTCAACAGATCTATATAAGTGTGTCAAAATGCGTGAATCAAAATGAATAAAGTCATAGAGGAGATAGTCACAAGTGCTCGTTTCTTCTTCCGTTATGAATGCCTGTCCCCTTTGGATTGTACTATCTTTTCTTCTTTCACCTTTTTTTTCTAGAAATACGTATCTTCTATCTGAATTATTTATATTTTCTTCTGTATATAAGATATAACGCGTGTTGCCGAGTATCATGACGGTGTTTTTAGAAATGTACACATTTTGACGTCATGGCTTCTGATGGCTGTCTCTTATCACGTGATCATGGATTTGATATTTTAAATTCATAAGAAACATTCATAAGAAAACTATTTTCGATTTTTCTATTATTATTTGTACATAAGTTCATGTATTCTCATACATAGAATTTATTTCGAAAAGAAAAATCATCTCGTGTAAGTTTTATTTTTTTTAAATTTTTAAGTCGGTAAGTTAGAAAATCATAATTCTCTATTTATTCTTTGCTTTAATCAAAAACGCTAATTATTTATCAGTATCTATTAATCTTAGTTTCAATCTTAGTAATTCAAACTTTATCTATTTTTTAAATAATTCTTAAAACAAAAAGATAAAAAACAAGTTAAACTCAATCAAATTACAATACAAAATAGAAATAGACATAAAATTGGAAGAATTAATTGCTGATTAAGTTTCGTTAAAGTTAAGTTTTGCCGAAATCACTTTAATAAGATTCTTTTAAATATAAAAAATGAATCGCGCTTTGCGACATAAAATATATATTTATTAAATATTTATGTATAAATTTCATTTTTTTCTCCTTATACAAAATATATACATTCTTTAGAAAAATATTGTTTTATAATAATCATCACAGTTTTTCTATTTTTAAAACAATCTCTTCGTACATTTCTTCATGTATTATATAAATAAGCGTTCAGTGACTAAAATATCGCATTTGGTTAATTAGTTATTGTGATGAGATTATTTTAAATATAATGATTTGTTTAATGAAAAGCAGCGTACTTTACAATTTTTAATCACAACAGTATTTAAAAAAAAAGAGACTAAAGATGTAGATAATGAACCATTTCTCTCTAATAAAGCCTATCGAGAACAAGTTCGTCAAACATATACTGTCTTTTTAATACTTCGTTAGGTACATAATGGGATCCTGCAAATCTGCAAAAATATCGGCCAATCTCGTTGTGCTCAATCCATCTTGGTGGACATGTCTCTATTAAAGAATCTAAAATAGAAAAATTTCTTTATTTATATCGCACTTATATGCATATAAATGACATTATAAAAGTACACACACACACACACACACGCACGCACGCACGCACGCACACACACACACACACACACACACACACACACACCTAGTAATTTGTTTGTACCTTCGGCAGCATAATACTTATTACCGTCTTCACTAAGGATAAAGTAAAATGGTTGTGTTACAGAATTAAATTCTAACATATCTATTATCTTCAGTTCTGGATTAGGTAGATCTCGTAAATTAAATGTTTTATCCCATCCAAAAATCACGCCTGTATAATTTGGTACATGCTTTTTGAAAGTCACAATCATTCCAACTGCATATTTTATATTATATCTTGCTTTTGGCGGACTGATATTTTCAAGTGATGGCCGAGTCTGAAAAATGTAGGTCTCTCACAATGTTAACCAACATCTTTTTTTATATATTTATTACCTCATAAACTTTTACTGTTTTCAAAAGTTTTCATATTCAAGTTGCAATTATTAGTTATGTATTAATATGATATTTTAATTAATTCATGAAATGAGTTAAAATATTTATTCATTCAGTATAATTGCAGCGAGCATTAACGTATTACGCTTATATCTAAAGCTCACTTTATAATTCATAATAGAATTTTATTTATAAATTTTAAACATCGAGTAATACAGAAAATATGTAAATCTATCAGAATCATAATGTTAGAATTATAATGTTTTATTTTTAGAAATAAAAAAAAGATATTAAATGTGCGCAGTGTAAGTATGTGATTGATTAATTGTATAGCTACTGTAATGAAAACTGAAAATTTCTAAGCACTTTGAATATAAATAGTCTTGTCGGATAAATAAATGGATTTTATCAATATAAATATAAATGAAAAACTTCAATACAAGAATTTCTTTCTCATCTATAATTATATTTATAATTTCATACATAAAATTAGAAATAGAATTGTGTCACGAAGTATAAAGTGGGCTTTATATATGTAAATTGCATATTTTTCATTATAAATTATCATAAATACATACTATTTTTTTCTGCATATAAAGTTTAAATTTATTTAGTAGTTCTTCAGCTCGAATTGCTTCCATAGATATTCTGTTACTGTCCTGCATATATAGAAAAACAAAGTTTAAACACTCAAAACACTTCCTGTACAGTTCATTAATGTACAAATATATGAAAATTAATATATCATGGCTCAAAGTTTGTTTATACAACAAATATATAAGAAATTAAAAAAATTTTCCTTTTATTCATATTAGCAATCATTCTTATATTAAACAATCAATTCTTATCGTATTGCGGAAAAACAAGTTTGCATAAAAAAAAAGAGAAATTTTATGAAAATAAGTCAGAATTTGATTTATATATAAATTAAATTTATATACCAGTATCTTTTGTAGTGAGATTAGGAGACCTGATAAATTCATTTGATTTTGCATATAATGACGACCTAGTGCTTGAATCCCGTCTATATCATATGGATTTATCATATAGCGGAATTCCATCAATGAGCGTATTTGCAGAGTTCTATCTTGATAATGTTGATAGTTAGGATTAACCATTTGTAAATGATAAATCATCCGCAACACGACCTTAAAACGAAAATGTAAATAAACTAACAATGCAACAAATGGAAAAATTAATTTTTTCATATATAACTCTCTTTTACATATAACGTATGTCTTATTGGTTTATTCCGTGTTGATTTATCTGTGATAATCTATATTTTTACTACTTATTTCTAAATTTGATAAGATATATAAATAATGACCTCTGTAGGACTAATCTCATTGTGTTTATTAAAATTTTCGATGGGACATCTTCTACCACGAGTTTTGGGACAATCGTTTCTACCCACAATGGCTCCACCATGCAAGATGTCAATATAGAAATATTCTTCATCTTCAGATTTTTCTGTAATACTATAGGTATAATAAAAAAAGGATATGTAGTTCACATAAGCGTATACATTTATAGATATATATGTCTATATGATATATGCACAAGATGTCTTACAAATCTTGAATATGTTTCTGGACAAAAATATAGAACGAATGTTTCTATGAACTAGGCTCGCAAATGCTTCATTGTTAAAATAATGGATATAAATAATATCAAATAATGATATTTGAAATTTTTCAGAATTATTTTTTTGTTTACAAAAAATAGTATCTTTCATCATTTTCCATACATACCTGAAGTGGATGTATACATTGGCGCATTATTTCAAATATTTTTATCTGTTATTTCGAAACATTTGCGATTTTATGTTTATAGAAATATTTGTTCTTTTTTTTATTAGGAATATGATCACAAAATTTTATTTATGATTTATGATTTTGTATTAATATATAAATATATGATAAGTCTGATAAATTAAATGCTTCTAAATTATACTTACGATTTTGGCTTCCAACTTAAAAAGAAGTGAGTAGGAAATGCTACTAAATCACAGCGTACACCAAGTCTCCTTGCTATACTCTGGAATATTATTGCCAGAGATACTGCATCACCAACTTTGTTTTCTAAAACCTGAATATTGCAAATTACATTACTCTCTCTCTCTCTCTCTCTCTCTCTCTCTCTCTCTCTCTCTCTCTCTCTGTGTGTGTGTGTGTGTGTGTGTGTGTGTGTGTGTGTGCGTGCGCGCGCGCGCGCGCGCGTGCATGCGTATGTAAAAAAATATTCCAGACTTCGCGCGATGCTCATTAATAGCAGATTCTTGAGATTATTTCGAGATGAAAATCCTAACACTAAAATATAGAGGTTAGTAGTTTTTAAATAAAAAGAATTTAAATTCAACCAACAGAATTTGAAATTCGCGCAATCAGACATGGCACATCGTACAGTAATGAAGATTTAGAAAAGTAAAATAGAATTGATGTTTGAAAATATCTTGACTATTGTACAATGTGCACGAATTTCGAACAGTTAAATTGGATAAATTTAAACTCTTTTCATTTAAAAACTACTATAACCTCGACATTTTGATAGAATTTTCGTCTTGAAATGATTTCTGGTGAGAAATCTGCTAACGGATATTACGTGAAATCTGGAACATCCTGTATATATAGAAAGATATTGACATTTTACATTTTTATATTAACATAACAATATAAATAAGAATATAAATAACAATATGAATATAAAAATATGCTCATGATGTAATTGTAATATATCATAATTTATATCTTACGCAATCTATAAGAATGTCCTCCAGTTTATATAAAAGATTTGAAGCTAAAGCTCCAGAGAAGCCTAATTCGTCAAATAAAACTATTTGAAGCATATTTATTATCTGTTTTTCTTCCTTCTTGCTCCATTGATTGTCGTTAATGTTATTATTTTTCCAAAAAGAAAACTGCTTAGCAGGCGTTGAGAATATTGGATGGTCCCAATGAACCTTTTTAAGGCGCTCCAATACCAATTGTGCAATATTATCCAGTGATGCTTCCACATCAAAATAAAAGATATGTTTTTGAGGTTGATACCATTGTGCTACAATAGTAGCTGCTTTTTCTAGAAGTTGCTGTTCTTTGGGATAACTTATAAATTCCTGCCATACATCCTTTGTATGACGCTGCTGTAAATATAGAAGAAGTTCTTTGCTGTAATATTTATGTGTTAAATTACAATCAGGTAATCTGAAAAATAAATGTACATTAATTGTACAATTAATCCATTTACATTTGTGTTATGTTACATCTACAATATTAATAATTTAATAAATCTTACAGTGAGGACATTGTAATCAGATGTATCATTTCATCCTTAAGAAAATGGTAATTCATAATGTGAGCACCCATATTTGGACAGAATAGTGCATCGAAATGTTCCATGTCACTTTCGGAAAAATTGTCTTTTTGAAAGAATCTCTTGGACATTAACAACAAGTGATTCCTTAATTCATTTCTACATTTTATACTTGTTTTTACGTCATCTTTAAAATTTATGTTTTCTTTATTTTGTATCCGTTTGTCATAAATTCTTTTTATATGAGGCCATCTAGCATTATAACCAGAAATACTTCGTTATTTTCAAAAATTTTAAGGGCATCATTAAAAAATTATAAATTTAAAAAAAAA